AAAGCATCAAGCCTGAAGCCTTTTGAAGCATACCAGAAGGTTAGGGCAGCTTTGTTATATGCTAACTCTTGCAAATCCATTGAAGTCACCTATCCTGGAAGAACTGCTGTCAGCGCCAGGCTGGAAAAAGCTGAGAGGAACCTTCTCCTTTGCACTAGCCCACAACAATCTAAAGTGATAAGATTGGTGTTTATAGGGCTACCGCATTTTTCGGAGTATAAGACGCACCTTTTCCCCCCAGAAAAGAGGGTGAAAATTTGGGAGTGTCTTATACACCAAATGTAGCCCCACCCACCTCCACCAGAGGCCAAAAATGTGATGCATGGAGGCAACAATGGTCTGTGGCAATCTCTGCATCCTGGAACAGCTGATTGGGGGTATTCTGGCAGTCTGATTCACCTGCAAATCAGCTGTGCTGAATCAGGCTGCAATAAGTGCTGAAGCTGATCTGGCTGGTCAGAGTTTGCAGCAGCAATCACATTCAGAAAGCACAATCCTACTAACTGATTTAGCAGGATTCAAAATAATAATAATATATAATACATTGCCAAAAGCAGGTTCTCCAAGGTAGCAGTAAATACAAGCAAAAAACAAGCAGTTTCTGTTTCAGTTCTCGGCTAAGCCAGGCTCCTTCCTGTCTCCTTATTATTGATCACACAGCAAATTTCAGAGTCCAAATAGTCCTCATTGGCTGACTTAGTTGCTATGCCTATTCATTGGCTGACCGTGTTACATGTGTCAGCTGAATACTATGGATGCTGGTAGGCACAGGCAGAATTTTTCTTATTATTATTTTTCTCCCCAAAAACTAAGGTGCGCTTTATACTCCGAAAAATAAGGTAATCATGTTACTTATCACATCTATAAAAGACTTCCCAGGGCAAATCTCTTTTTTAAACTGAACAAAATCACTTGGCATAGATATCCGCAAACTCATTTAAAATTTAAGCAGCATATTTTTATTGAAATATATTTAATGTGTCACTGTTATTTTAAGCCAGTTTTTTTATCTGTGCCTTTTTTTTAAAGAAATCCTCAGCTGCACCCTTCAGTCATTTTAATATTAGGTACAGCCATTTTCACAAATATCTAAACCTAAATAGCATCCATGGATTCATCCTAAGAATGTTATCATCACAAACCAAGCTGTTTACCTGAACAATTCTTAATAGTTGAATCAAATATCAAGCTCATTGCACTGCAGTGGCAAAAGAAATGCCTCAGTATGGTAGTTCTTCATGCACTGCATATGTTTAATGGATAAACATTATTTTCTTCTGATTTTCTGGGCCAGGAATTGTTGCTGCTAAAATGTCCAGTGCGATCTTCACTACTATGTTACATCGTCCATGTGATTGATTCTGGGAGATACCGTTCCTACAAATCTGCAATTACTGACCATTATGTTTGAGTCATTTCTCAGATTATCATTGCAGTGTTTTACTATAGACCATTTTCTTTACCTCTCCTTGTTTCTTTTGCTGCTTCTAATGACAACAAAGAATAGCATTGTGATAGCCAAATCGGTTGCTTGTTGACAGCACTGAAGACTACAGACGGATGAGAGAGGCTGAAGTTCGCATCAAAGTCGCAAGGAGGTAGACAGGCACAAATGAGCCGCAGCAAGCAACTCGTTCTAATCTCTAACAGAAACAAGCAAGGAAGAAAGCAAACTCTTCACAACTGTCACCAGTGGCTATGCTTTTAAAATGAGAATGTGGAGATGGTTTCATCAGGAACAGTCAACAGCATGTAAAATCTTACTTTATTTTATTCTTGCTTTCTGGATACATAATTTATCTCTTTGATTATGCATATAGCAGTTAACATAAGAAAAATTAGTACGCAAAGGAATAGAATTTACAAAGCAGTTATTACTGACTTCAGATCACATAGTCTCAAGATAACTAATTGAAACCAGTGCAAATGATGACAGCAAATAATTGTTATAGGATTTTATAACAGACATGAAATATTTTATGAAATGTTGCAATCTTCCTGAATTCTAAATGAAAAGAAAGAAGTTATTCAAATAAAACCAAAGACAGTAATTGCAGATTTGTAGGAACGATATCTCCGAGAATCAATCACATGGAGGATGTAACATAGAACTGAAGATTGCACTGGACAAAATTAAAGAATAGAACATAGCCTCATGCCACTTGTTTAATAGAAGAGCCTTATGTATACAAAAATATGAGATAAACAGGATATCTTATGAAAGAAACAGCTCATATGTTAGTTTTCATTTCTGTTGGTTTTTTTCTGAAAAATTGTTAGAATACTGGTATTAAATCAACTCTGCAAAAAGGATAACAATAAAGACTAAATAATGATACCTCAAACTAATGATTTAAGAGCCCAAAATTAGGGATTCAATGAAGTAATTTCTCAAGATTGGAAAGGAAAATAGCAGTGGATCAATGGTGCTTAGATAGGGACTGTCACAAGGCCCATTATGGAGCTTTTAAGTCTCTAAGAAGTCTGGAGGCTATGTGTGCATTGGAACAGTCCCCACTCTACTATCTTCTCATTGTCCTCTAAATCAAACTATATTTTCCCTTTTTTTGGTCCACTGAAGACAATATTGCAGTAATTGGGAGTATGTGATGAAATCTAAAATATTGAAATACAACTTGTCATTGATTAAAATACTGAGACCAAAAAAATGTCTACTGAAATCACAGCATACAAATGTCAGGCCTGCAGCGGTTCCTTTAAGAATCTTTGGCCTGCCACACTCTCTCTCTCTTTCTTTACTATGCTGTTTCATTATTGGGGAATTGGAAGGGGTGAATAGTAAGGAGTAGAATTGTAGAATGTGTTGTTGTCAAAATAGAAAAAAAAGCAAGGTTGTAATAAAAAATACTTCCTCTCAGAATCCCTGATACTTATAATTCCTTGTGATTAGGAACCCAATTTTGTCATCTGTAGGTGGTAGATCGATAGATACCCAGGTCATTTGGTTTACCAGTACCTTGAATTGCATCTGAAACCAGTGCAGGATAGCCAATGTACCTTCTAGTATTTTCATGTATGCAAACCAAATAGAGTTCCTTAATACTCAGGCCTTTTCCCTCTGGATCAGATAAAGTTTCTGATCTTAGAGCATAGCACCATGTAAATATATTGTGATACTCCAAATGTAAGATGATAAAGATATGAGTAATCATCAACAAAAGGAAAAATGTCCTCATCCAGGATGACCACAACTGGCACATCATAAAGTGTTATGCAAATGCTGCCTTGACCACAGTTTCCATGTGCTGTTCAAGAAGGAGACATGACTCCAAGAGGATTCCAAAATCATACATTCCAATCTATTATCAAACAAATGAAAGGAATGAGTTGAAAATTAAAGATTGCACAAAAATGTGTGTGCGTGTGTTTGTGTGTAGGGAGAGATTAGGCTTTGCTCCCAGGATGAAATGTCCTGTTCTTTCCTGATTTCCTCAGGGCCCCATTTTTATCTGAGTCTACCTCTGAGAAATATTTATTAATTGAGAACAGATGGTGGCAATTTAACATGCCAGAAATCATTTGAATCTCTTTCATCCATCTCTTGCTTTTCTTTTTTTTCCCTTTCTCTATCCTTGAAGTTAAGATTTTGAAACTATTTCTGATCTAAAAGTAAAAGAAGCAGTAGTTAAGTGCTATTACTTCATGATCACCTTTTAATAAAAATAATAAAATAAAGTGCAAACTTGGTCAGATTGCAGTCCTTATCTTAGAACTTCTCTAAGAGCATGAAGGGTTATTTATCATGAGGATATATATTTGCCATGGCATGATGAAACACAGAATCTGCTTAGAAAGGATTAATTCCAAATAGCAGGAAACTAGTAGTCCACAGTCAGTAGGCTGAAGGTTACTAGTCCCTTGAGGATTGTGATAAATCTGAAGAATGGGAAACTGATTGTGCCCAATTGGTGGGCAGAATATCTTTAGTCCCTTCATGAACAAAGATTCCCTTGAGAACCAATTGAATGCAGTATAATTTACTTCTGAACAACCACAGATAGAATTGCATTAAAGCCTTTTTTTAAGGAAAACTTTAATCACACATATTTTAAGCCGTGAAGCCAGACCACAAGAAAAGGAAAAAAATTATAGCTGGAAAAAGTCCATTTATAGAAATATAAAGTTGATATAGCTATATGGCTGTAACATATTTTTTTTTTCAATATTGCTTGTAGGTGGTGAGAACATCAAAGCTTTCACACTGCTACCTAGATATGCTATAAGAAACTGCAATCAATATTTTACAATGTGTCATTATCAAGTCACAGATAATTCACAGTAGGTAATTAACAGGTGATAATGAGCATCAAGTCCAATATTTCAAATCATTCTGGGAAATCACACCTATAAGAGAGGTGGCAAATTCTCAGAAGCAGAGGAAAGCAGAAAGAGTACACAATACTGCATAGGACAATACTGTACTCCAGTGGTTCTTAACCTGGCCGATATCGCCCCCCAGGGGGCGATTTTGTTTTTCAGGGAGGGAGATGGAAAGGGGTGATGCGGGTGTGTGTGAAGGAATGGAAGGGGTGCAATATGGGGTGATGGAGCGAGAAGTTTTGGGAACACTTTTGAGACTTTTTTCATACAGTGAACTGCTGTATATCTGTCATACAATAACATCAGATCACTTGCTATTAGTGCATTGAACTGTGTTTTAAAATGTTCCTCCAGCTAGCTTCAGTACAGAATGCCATACATATGTGAATATGCACCGCTCATCTTCATGTGCATTGCGCAGCAGCCTCTATCACTCTACCCATACAGTGGCACGCCATTGGCCAGAATGGGCAGTGATGGAGGGATGAGTGCTTCTTTTGAAACATTGCATGCTGAGTGACTGTCCCTGTGATGTCAGCTGTAATGTCAATGTAATGTTGAAACTAGGTTTATCGACATCCACATGTGTTTTATAGTGTTCCAGTGCAGCCGAAAATTTAATTTGCAGTTAGTGCCTTCCATTTCGAAGATGTCTCAACATGGCCGAGAAGAGGAAGTGTCGCCAATATTCGACGGAACACCTAAAATTGAGATTCATTCCATCTCCTTCCAACGTACAGCTTCCGTTTTGTTTTCTTTGTGAGAAAACATTTTCAAATGAAGCGATGAAGCCTTCCCGGCTGAAAGACTATTTGGTAAGAATTCATTCAGATAAAGCCGACAAACCAGTATCGTTTTTCCAATCCTTAAAGGCCAAGTTTGAGGGTTGCAGTACTGTTGAGAAGTTATTTGGAAAATCGTCACTCAATGCCGACAAGGGGCTCATTTGTTCCTATGAAGTATCTTTGTTGATAGCAAAATGTGGCAAACCTCACACTATCGGAGAAACACTGATTTTACCAGCAGTGAAACAGATTGTTGCCACCATGCTGGGGCTCAGCGCAAGCACTTTTACACAATCGATTCCTTTGAGCAATGACACCGTATCAAAAAGAATTGATGAAATGGCTGCTGAAGTGGAAGAAATGCTTATTGACACCTTGAAAAGTACAAAATTCGTGATGCAGATTGATGAGTCAACAATTAGTGAAAATGAAGCCTTGTTATTGGCTTATGTCCGTTTCATCAACAGAAATGAGGAGATTGGGGAAGAACTGTTATTTGCTCAAACTTTAGCCACCGACACAAAAGGTTCTTCGATATTTAAAAAGGTTGAAGAGTTTTTTAATGAGAAAAACATCCCTTTGACAAATGTTATGGCATGTGCAACTGACGGAGCTGCATCCATGGTTGGACGATATCGCGGATTTCAAGCTCATCTAAAATCAGTTGTACCTGGAGTTATGACTTCCATTGTTTCATTCATAGACAACACCTTGTCTCAAAAAATTTGAGTGGCCATTTACACGAGTCTATACGTTACATCATTAACGCTGTGAATAAAATTAAGTCGAATGCCTTGAACAACTGACTTTTTCACAAGCTTTATGAAGAAAATGACAAGGAGTTTGAACGTCTCCTTTTGCACACCGAAGTAAGGTGGCTTTCAAAAGAAAAGTGTTTGCGGCGATTCCACAAACTTTTTGACACAGTTGTCGAATTTCTTGAATCCATTAATCCAAGTCTAAGCAGTTCTCTTAAACTTCAACATCTGGCTGTAGCTTATCTAGCTGATGTTTTTGACAAGCTGAATGAAGTAAACGTAAAGCTTCAAGGAAATAAAATCAATTTTATTAAGGCCAAAGGAGTAATCTGCTCATTTATTTCCAAATTGGACATCCTTGCAAGCAATATGAGTCGCCAGAAGCTGTATCAGTTCCCAAGCCTTGGTAATGAACGTCAACTCCAAGCAGAAGATTTGAACATTTTTTTCTGCCACTTGAAGCAATTAAAAGAAGATATGGAAACCAGATTCTATGATCTGAGAAATCTGGAAGTGCCCACTTGGGTGCTAAATCCTGTCACAGCAGACTTTGTACAACTTCATCCCAAACTGCAAGAGCCACTGACAGATCTGAAATACGACTATGAATCCCAATCACATTTTCAGAGTTATGGCTGCGAAGCTTTTTGAATGAAAATGAGGAACACTTACCCAATATTGTGGGAGGGGCTTCAGTGCCATCCAACAGATCCTTTGTAAGTCAAGGAACATGGTTGTTTTTTTTAATAAATGTTTTTTAATTTTAATTTAAAACAGGTACAGCATCTTTCTTTACATCTGTAGAAAATGTGATTG